CAGGAAGATGAATCCGAGTTAGGCTCAGCCAGGCACAGCCATTCCAGCCTCCTCATCCCCGGGGGTTGCATTAGACATTTGACCTATTTCTAGCCAGTGAGATGCAAAGGAAGACATCTGGGAAAACTTTCTTCTCTGAGAAAAAAGAAGATATTCCCTCCTCCGGCTTTGGACAGTATTGTATGAGGAGTGATGCTTGGTGCAGCTGCAGCCATCTTATACCATGAGGGTCCATGCCTGAGTATGTAGTCGACACAGTGACAGTGACAGAAGAGACAATGAAAAAAAAAATCCAGTATCTTGCTCACATCCCTGGGTCCCTAAACTGATAAGCGCCTGAACCACCCGAGGTCCGGTATAAATAACAGTCAGTGCTAATGTGGTACTCACCACGTGTCAGGCACTGCTCTAAGCACTTTGCATTTGCTCACCCACTGAATCCTCACAAGAGCCCAGTGAGAAAAGTATTACTATTGGTCGTTACATTTACAGATGTGAAAACCGAGGCCTGGAAAGGTTAAGCAACCAGCTCAGGGCCCTACGGTTAGCAATGATTCCACCTCAGGCAGCCTGGGCTTGGGCTCTGAACTCTTTCCGATTACACTGGACTCTACTACCACTTTACTATTTTTATAACATAAAAAAAAATAAATCTCCTCTATCCTTTAAGCCATTTTGACTTGTTTCCTCTGCTAAACGCAGCTGATAGTATCCTAGTTGATATATCTCAGTGAGATAAGCCAGGAAGGAAGGGAGGGAGGGGAGGGGGAAGGAAGGAGGGAGGGAGAGAGGGAGGGATAGGGGAAGGGAGGGAGGGAGGGAGGGAGGGAGGGAGGGAGGGAGGGAGTGAAGGGGGAGGGACAGAGGGAGGGAGGGAAGGAAGGAAGGAGAGAAGGGAGGGATGGAGGGAGGGAGGGAAGGAGGGAAGGGGAAGGGAAGAAGGGAGGGGAGAGGGAGGGAAGAAAGGAAAAGGGAAGGAAAGAAAGAAGGAAGGGGGGTGAAGGGAAAAAGGGAATTTAATTTTAAATTAAGGGGTATGGCTAAGTCTCAGACGTGTGCCAGGAGGGCAGTGGCTGGAAACCATGTCTCGTACGTACTCCCCTGGAGGAGCCTCCCCTTGCAATGGTGACATGATGAAGGACTACTGTCACCGTCAGGCTGGCTTTACTGGGAGCCCACATCTGTGCTCAGCACAAATGTAGGCTCTTGACATGACTCTGCAAGGCAGGTGCCACCCCCACCCCCAGCTCACAAATCAGGAGCCCCAGTACTACTCCCTGGTGTGTACCGAGTTCCTCTCCTGTGCCAGCCCCCATGCCAAGTGCTCTCCGGGCCTTTGCTCATGAAATAATCCAATCAAGTGAGCATCATTTTACAAAAGAGGCAACCAAGGCTCAGAGAAGCGAAGTATCAGGTCCACGGTCCCAAGATGATAGGGAGAGCTATGATTCCAACTCAATCTGTAGAAGAATGAAGGCGCACCCACAGAGCCAGCCCCTGGCAACCAAGATGTGGTTGGAGCCCGCAGGAGCCCGAGTGGCCCTGAATACACATGACAGCCCTTAACTCTGAGGAGGAATGAAGAAGATGTCCCTTCGACCTGCCAGCAGCGGGGAGGGGTGAGCTCCCCGTGACCAGGAGTGTTCAAACAGAGGCAGGTGAGGACCTGTGCCGTGGGTAATGGAGTGTTCCCATCCATCTCCACACGTCGGGGACTTTAGTATTCTAGAATTCTATAGCCGCATGTCCAAACTCTCCAAAGCCAACGGAGACCTCAGAACCTGTGTGTTTCCTGCTGACTGTAAGGGGAAACCACAGGAAGAGCACTGGCCCAGGAGTCCAGGAATCATTTAACATTTACCGTGTCAATACCAGCCTGCAGGATTTCTAGAGAGCCCTCCTCAACCGTGCCTGGGCCTTCGGGCTTGTGAGGGCTGTTCGGGGGGACAGGCGGGGCCACCTACAGCTTAGCTGTATCCCCCGGGGCGGGGGGGGGGGAGGTACGGATTTGAGGCAAGGCTCTATTCCAGCCGCAGTTTTCTGCTCTGTAAAATGGGTCTATAAAAAGGGCCTCCCTAAGGTCCCTTCCAGTTTCGGAGTGGAGGTAGTGGGGGGCGGGGGTCTAAGCAGGGTTGCCACGTGGGTCCCAGCCCTCGGGAAGGAAGGAGTTCCTCCCTGGCTTCTGAGAATGCATCCCGGGAAATGGGGAATCACAGGGTCCCCACCCTCCCACACACATGCAGGGTTTGGTCCATCCTTCGTGCTCACAAATGGTCTCCCAGACTCACCCAGGAAAGTGACACCTCGAGGGGGGCTGGCTTACCCTTGGCCTCCGCACTATCTCCCGCCGGAGGGCATCACAGACACAGAAAGACCCGGGGGGGGGGGTCCCCGGTGCTGCCTCTCACTGGCCGTGTCACTCCGGACGAGCGTGTCTCACCTCCGGGCAGTCACCTTCGGAACGAGGATACACGACCGCATTATCCCACCGCCACGAGGGCGAAAGGAAATAAGGCGTGTGAGCGCCTGGCACAGTGCAAAGTACACAGCTGGCGCTCAGTAATGAACGGCCACTTCCTTCCCACGGGCCAGGCCACAGCTTCGTTCCTGCCCCGTGAGGAGAAGGGCAGCTGGCAGGGGGGGTCGATGCTGGCCGGAGGGAGGTGACACCGCCCCCCCCCCAGAGGCAGGACTCCTGCAGTGTGGGAGCCCCCGGGGCTGCGGGCAGCTTCTCAGGGGCGGAGGAAGGACAAAGGAGGGGCCAGGGCACGGCTGCAGCAGCAGGTGGGAAGGGCAGTGCTGTGACAGTGACACTGAGCACGGCCCCCTCTTCTGAGCCAGTGCCCAAGAACTCACCCCTGGCCCAGAGGAGCGTGCACCGCCTCCCAGTGAGGGCCCCGCAGGCTCCCCCTCCATCTGCCCCGCCTCACGCACCTCTCCACGTCTCAGCTCCCTGGCAGGGCACCCCCCATGCCTGCAAAGACTCCTTCTGATTGGAGCTCCTAGTCGGGTGGCTCAACCGTGTGCCCCACGGATGCTGTGGGGTGGACATGGAGATGGGCAGGCCATACCAACCCTGGCTGCAGTCCCCAGCCTTGGAGAAGCTTCCCTCCCAGGGAGCTGAAGCCATGGCCCCCTGCTCCACTCGGGGGGGGGGGGGCGCTCTGGATGCCCATGCTCAGGCCCCCCCGCAGGATAGCCCGCCTGGAGCACAGCCCAGAAACTGCTTACAACCAGCAGCGAATCGGGGGCTCCCATGAGTACACACACTCCCCAGTAGGGCTGGGCCGGTAGCACTGTACAGGAGCACCCCTCTTTGCAAAACTGGGGAGTCAGGAACACAATGCTGAATGCCTTTCAGAAGTCACTCGGGGTGCTGAGGGAGGGGGCAAGGATGGCTAAGGCTCCTCCCAGAGCTAACCATCTGAGGGTCTGATGACACCCGTGTGTGGGCGGCCCAGCCCCACATCCCGTTTCCAGATTAGTCCCCCAATCTGGACCCACGGTGAGGTGGGCTCCTGACAAGGACAGGAAGGTAGACGCGGTAAAGGAGGCCTGAGTCCAGCGAGCATCAACATTCAGTATCAGAGCGGGTTCAACAAGCTCCCACACGGAGAAGTAGTGACCAGGGCAGAGCCGGAGCTAAAACAGGGGAGCAGAGCCTCCAAGCCCACCCTCACCCCCTCAGGGACACCCCTGTAGCGTGCCCCCTAGAATCTGCAGCCCTGAGCCCTTCCCTGGGTGGGGACATCTGGGAGGGGCTTGACAGACCGGTCAGCACCCACCGCAGTACCTCCAGCCCACTCTGCAGGCCACCTGCACACACTTGCCAGTCATGCCAAGGCCTCCCGGCTTCTCCCCGCCCGGGTGGTCAGGCCTGTGCACCGGGTGGGGCAGGGAGCCAGGGGGCTGACGGGGCCCCAGGACCGACCTTTGCCAGAGCCCAGAAATGGCAGACACGCGCCTCAGCTCCCTTGTCCCCAGTGGGGTGACTCCTGTGTGCTTTCCACACCCTGTCCTAGGGGCCTGGAGTTGGGGCGGGGGGGGTGGGGAGCGGTGACCTGGCTCAATGGGTTAGAAGCAGCTGCCGGGGATTTTGAATCTGGGCCGGGGACACATGCACCAAAGGCACAGAGTCTCCATTCTGTCGCCGCAGCTGCACAAACATCCTGCTTCCCAGCGCGCCGTGGCCAACGTGCCCACAGAGCTGCCCAGCGCCCCGGGGCTGGCAGGCCGGGGCAGGCCAGGGGCTGTGATCCTAGGCCCCCTGCCTACTGCCTGAACCCCGTTCTTGGCACTTCCTACAATTCAGCAAATACCTGCTACCCTTTCCACAAATTGTCCTTCCCGCCTACAGCAGCCCGAGTCTATTCCTGTGGCCTAGAACAAAACACCTAGCCGGTAGACGCACGGGGCATAACGCAAGAATGAGGACAAGGCCCCCGGGCCTCTACCCCAGCCCGACAAGCCTGGACCCCCGAATCCCGAATCCCAGGAAGGTGAGGATAACGAATGGGACCCGCCAAGAGAGGCGGGGAGAAGGGAGGGGTGCTGGGGTCCCTCCCACCACGACCCAGGGCTCCTCTCCGAAAAGAAAGCCATGGTCCTGCCTTCAGGGAGCGCTCAGTCCAGGGAGGGACACAGGCATGATGCCAATAAGCCCAATGCAGGGTGACAGGAGTTGAGGCAGAGGGAGCAAGCTCAAGGCGTGGGAGACAGTGCGTCTGGGCTCAGGAAGGGTTCCCCAGAGGGACGGTGTCTAAGTGCAGCTCCGTGAAAAAGCAGAGGAAAGAAAAGGAAAAAGAGCAAACCGGGCGCTTCACGGCCACAAGCGGGCTGGCCCGGGGCCAGTCCCTGGATGAATCATGACTCAGTGCCTGGCTCCAGCTGTAAATCTGGGAGACAGACAGGCGGCTCTCTGGAGGGACCGCCGCTCCCTGGGGAGGGCTCCAAGTTTGTCACCAGCTAATAGGGAATAAAAACACATCCGTTTGTGTGTGCGGAGACGTCTCAGTCTGCCTCCACAGGCACGAACACACACGCTCACACACACGGACCCCAAGCAAGGGCGCAGAGCAAAAATAGCAGGTTGCCGCAGCTGGGTGCTTGCAAGAATCCGTGATTAGGACGGGACTCGTCGCTGTCCAAGCGGAGGCTTCTGGGAGAAGACAGGCCCAGCCCGGGCTCGGAGCTGCCTTCCTGAGGAGCCGGGCGGTTTTCCCTTGTTGCTGCCTTCAAAGAGAGAGGGACATGATGGTGTCAGGGAGCAGGAGGGGCAGGCTTGAGAAGCAGGCCGTTGGGCTTCCAGCCTCAGCTTTTCCAGACTACTTAGGTGACCTTGGGAGAAACTGCTGCTCGACCTAGGCCTCAGTTTCCCCATCTGTACATGGAGGAGGTTAGTCTAGATCAACGGTGGTTAGTCCAGCTCAGTGGACTGGTGATGGCTTCTTGGGACACTCTAATGAGAAGGAACCAGGCACAGGCAGGGGCAGCGGTGGCACGCGTGCTACTTACCGTCCCTTGCCTCTTGAGTCCTGATGCTCTGCGAGTCTGCAATCTGACTTCTGGGGCTTAACCTGGGCTCCAACTTGTGGGCTGGGGTGAGCTCATCCCCGTCATAAGAGCCCGCTGTGCATCTCTTCCGAGCGCCACTGTCAGTGACGTCACGGTGCACAGAGCAGAAAGGCAGCCACAGCGGAAGTGTTTATGCCATGGAAACCAGCAAATGCCACAGAGCAGGGTTTTACTGGTTCACAGACCAGGGCACGGGGAGAAGGGAATCCAGGCAGCCCCCTGTCCTAGGATCCACTGGGAGCCATTGGCCCCTGGCAAGTGGCCAGTGCCTACTGATGCTAGAATCCGATCCATTCTGTCAGAGACTCGTCACCTTGTTCTGGATCCTCACACCTTCTGCCTCAGTCCATTCAGGCTCCTGTAACAGAATATCACAGACCGGGTGGCTTATAAAAAAAAAAAACAAAACAGGTATTTATATCTTACAGTTCTGGAAGCTGGAAGTTCAAGATCTCAAGGCACCAGCGGATTCAAAGTCCAGTGAAGGCAGCTTGCGGGCTCATGGATGGCCACCTTCTCTCTGTGTCCTCAAGTGGTGCAAGGGGCGAGGGAGCCCTCCGGGGTCTCATGACCAGATCACCTCCCAAAGGCCTATCCTCCTCATGCCTTCACACTGGGGAGGAGGGTGCAACATAAGAATTTTGGGGAGATACAAACATTTAGTCTGTAGCATTGCTTTTGCTGCATGCAGCCCCATTCAGGGCCCCACCCAATCTGCCTTGGCACCAGTCATGCCGTCCTCCTCCAGGAAGCCTTCTCAGACAGCTTGAGTTTGCAGTGATGACCCTGCCCCCCTCCCCCCCAACCACCACCCTCAGCTCTCATTTCACTTATTGTGTTTGTTGGTTCTGGGATGCAAACTGTCTTCCTGGAAAAGGTTCAGAGGCTACGTCTCCTCCTTCTTCATCCCACAGTCAGGGTTCCACATAGGCCTAGTCATGGAACAGACGTCTAGGGAGATACCAGCTGAGTCATTCACTGCCTGGGACAGAGCCCCAAAACGCCTGTAGCCATCACCCCAATCAGAATCCTATATCCCAGGTGGGGAAACTGAGACTCCAAACAGCACGGAGCAGCCTATCTGCAGCCGAGCTCTAGAACCCAGGTCTCCAGATGGCCTGCACACTGCCTTAGGAGTCCAGTTCACGGATGCAGAGATTGAGGCCCACGGAGGTCTAGAACCAAGCTCCCAGCGTGACCCTGTAGGGGAGTCAGCACAGATACCCAGGTCCCCAACATCCGGAGGGGGGCCGTGCCCTCTACACCAGCGCCCCCTACCTCTCCCTTCACTTCACTCCCAGCATCACCCTCGGCTTACCTAACTAGGCCTTTCCGTGTCCACGGCAGGGCTCTGGAGCCTACCTGCCACCTCTCTCTCCACCCCCAACATCAGACCTTGAGGGTCAGGTCAGCAACCCGTGGGGCCTGAGGCCCCAGAATCCACGGGGGCTGCTTTCTCGGGCGAGGAGCAAGGCCCAGCCTGGGCCTGCCTGGGCTGCATTTGGGGCCGCCTCCTCCCCGTGCTCTGTCCTCAGGCTGCTGCTTAACATGCACACGGGAACCTCAACGCTGAGCGTATAGATTTCTCTTTGTCTTTGGTGGTAATTATTAGCTGTCTCGGCGGGTGAATGCAGGCAGAAACAAAGGCAGCAAGGGTTGTAAAACCTTTTATCTCGATCAGGCCGCATTATTTGATAAGGTGCTAAGCTAATAGCAACGCATGTCAAATTGTGTTTAGACAGATCGAGGGGCTGGGAATGGAGGGTATATTTGTCTCCGGAAACCTGCACCTGCAAAGGATAAGAAGTAAAGCACGCTGATATTCACAGCCCCGTGCAAAACGCAGACCGCGCAGCTTCTGGGGCTCCTGGCACAGAGACTTCTGGGAAAGGGGGCCAAACAGGAGGCTGGGAAGGTAAAGAGTGGGCCCACGTTTTGCTCATTTCCACTCAACACCATCTCAGGGTCTTTGCCCCGAGCCCCACAGGTCCCCACAGGGCTCAGCAGCACTTCTAGGTTCCCTGGCTCCCAAGCCAGAGCTCTCACCATGAGCATGTATTAAACCCCGAGTATGTAAATCTGTCCTGTGTATGACGTCGACTCCTATAGACAGAATTCCTATCCACAGAGACGGCATAGACCCTACAGAATTAGTCCTGAATCATGGGCAGCCTTGAGAAGAGGCTCACAAGGGCCGGGAAAATCAAGGCAGGCTTCCTGGAAAAGGTAAGAGTTCATACAGGCCTCGCAGGATGAGGAGGGTTTGGAATGCAAGCCTGGGGAGAAGCTCCCCTAACCACCAAGCTCCAGACCCCTCTCTGTGAACTCCCAGGGGCAGATCCAGTCATCTTCCAGATCCTGCCAGGCATTTCCTTTGGTTTGTCCTTCCCAGACCCTCCAAGAGAGCCTCACTCTGCCTCAGGATCACCAGAGCACACTCACGGCCGACCACTCTGTGCCCGGAAGGGCCGGCGGGAAGGTGGTGGCAGAAAAAGAGAAGGGGAGGATGCACATGTCACGAATATTTATGAAAGCCTTAAAAAAAAAAAAAAGTGCAAAGCCCTTTGAAACAGCGTATTTGTGCCTAGGAATAGTCCCTAAGGAAATAATCGGGAATGTGTACAGGTCTTGAGCACTCGGGATGCCCACCACAGGACTGTTTGTGTCAGCAAAGGATTGCAAGCAACCTTCAACGTCCAACAATGCAGGATCGGTTGAAAGAAATACTCAGGATCTTCTCGTGAAGCCACTGAGAAGTAATCATGGATCGGAGCCTTGGCTGCGGTTCTCCCTGGAGCAGGCTCAGGACCCAGATGCAGGTATATGCAAAGGCGCAGAAGGTGAAGCAGGCGAGTGGGGAGGCCACACGGGAAGGCAGGCAGTATTGGCTGAGTTTTCAAACCAGCTACCGAGGGAGGTGATGGGAGGCTGATTCCTCTGGGTAAACTCCAGGGTGGGTGTAACACCTGCCCTTGGGGAAGGCAGCTGGGGTACCTAAGTACCAGCTTGCTTCGGTCCTCAACCAAGGGCTGTGGGAGGCCGGAGACGCCAGTGTTGACCCCCAGGCACCTCCAGTCTGCCACCAGCCTCCTGCAGTGAGAGCCCCCGAGAAACAAAATGCAGGTGCCAACAGGTGGGATGGGCAGCAGCAGTGGGCTAAAGGGGCAGGGCCACGGGCGCGCAGGCAGGGGCAGCACTGTCACTTCTGTGTTTCATCTGAACTAGAAAAAGCCCGGCTCAAGGAAGACAAGCTTATTTCTTTGCTTCGGGATGCCCGTTGACGTACTGATGTGCACTGGGTGAGTCCCCAAGCCCTTGACTGTACACCTGCCCTGGTTTTGTCCTCCCGAGGCACACCCGTTAGTGGCTCTGGGGACATCGGTGCCTTCCAGAACAGAGCCTGGGAAATGCCGTCACAGTGGTGTCCTTAGGAACATGGGGAAATGGAGAGGCAGGTTCCCAGGGTCATGGGTGCAAAATGCCCCCATGTTCTTAATGTGTGCGAAAAGAAACTGACCAGCTTTCCTCTGGGAAAACTATCCTCACCCCATCACCCCAGGAGAGGCCTGTCCGAGGTCACTGAAGGCAGCACTGTGATACTGCTGCACAAAAAAAAAAAAAAAAAAAAAAAAAAATAGCAAATCCAGAAGCAATCTAAAAGCCCATCACATGGGGAATGGCTAAATAAACGCTGATAGATCCACACTCAGAAATACTGTCCGGCAGTAAGAACGAACGATGTACAGCTATCAGTACCAACGTGGAGAAAACCCCAAGACTAATAGTTAGGTGAGAAAATCCAAGGATGGAACAATACATACTGTGTGATACCGTTTCTGCTGAAGAAAAACACATCCGAACACACTAACAATACAACCATGGATCCCCACGTGCACAGATATAAATGCGTGTGTGCCCTCGGATCAAGAGGGGTGCATGTCACAGCCGCAGCCGGGGCTCTGCTGGCAGGAGAGGCCCACAGGACCATAGCGAGGTCTGTCTCCTGCCGACGAGAATGCCTTCCCCTGTGCCTGGTGTGCAATTAAAAATAAATGAAAATGTGTTAAAAGAAGGAAAAGGGAGAGCCTAGCCATATAGCCACCAAAACACCAAAATATTTACAGGGTTTGTCTCAGGGCTGGGATTAGGGGTGTTTTTAATTTTCTTCTGTTCGCTTATCTGCATTTTTTAAATTTTCTACAATTTAAAAGTAGAAGTAACGTTTAATTAAGTGCCCGCTGCACCGCCCCCTTCCCCCTCCCCATAGGAAGCTGTCCCCCCTCCGCCTCCCAGGAGGGTCTGTGCCTGCCGTTTCTTTCCTCGCATCCCTCCCAAGCCACTCGAGGTTCCCACTCCAGGCATCCTAGACGTTGCATCCTGGGTGGGACCGTCCGAGGACTGAGGTGCTGGCTTTCCTGATCATCTCTGTGATTCTCTGTGCAACCTCAAGCCACGCACGCACACCCTCTCTGGGCCTGTGTCGTCCTCTGCCGACGGGAATTCTAGAATCCAAACCACCTTCACCTGCGGCTGGGAGGCCGGGGAGAGGATAGTCGGGCGTGTCTTGTGTCGACTGCCCTGCTTGTGTGCAGCTCACAGAAGGAGGAGTCTGAGCAGAAGTCACCCCCACCGGCCGAGTCCCAGGACCCCAGGCCTTGGCAGGGATGCTCTGGGTCAGCTCCGGGGCCCCACTGGAATTCAAAGTCAGGCTGCACGTGGAAACGTGAAAGGGGCAAATGAGGCACGTGAGCGGTGCTGGGCTGGAGGAGCTGTGTCGCCCTCAAAGCAGGGCTCTGAGTGTCAGATTTTCCACTCTATTTCTCCGTAGCATGTTCTGCACATCCCGGTGCTAAAAATAACTGTGGCGTGTGAGTTGGGGTGGGGGAGGCCTGGGTGGCTCCCACGGCCATTGGAGCTGGCTGGGCCCAGCAGCCTCCCTTCACCTGGGCAGGACACGCCCCGGCTCCAGGGAGCTCTCCTTGCCCACCCTCAGTCCGTGGCCCATGACTTCATCTCCTGCCTAGGGCCCCGCGCAGCCCAGAAATCAGGGATGGAAAATTCCCAAAGAGATCATCTCTTCCACCGCTTGGGAGGAGCACAGTCACCCCTAGAAGTCCTTTGGGATGGCAGAGAAGACCCTTAGATCTAAGGCAGTTCCCTGAAATCGCATCTGCCAAATGGCCCACATGCTTCACTTCGTGGAAAAATATTTCCCGAGCCCGGCTGGGATCTCTGCTGCTCCCACGGAGGCCAGCTCCCACTGTTTGCCCCCGCCCCCCTGCCCCCCAGAGGGAGTTAAGAGAGAAGTACTGGTTCCAGGTCCGAATCAAAGTGAACACAGGGGCAGAGGCATGGAGC